TCCCCTACTTTGCATGTCTGAATTTTTTTTTAGTTGCAGCATTTGATAAATATATCATTCGCAGGAACGAGCAAACATACTAGGAGAATAAACATTGTACATAAATTAACATCTAATTAAACAAGGAACATAAAAAGATTAAATGATTATAAACGTTGCAAACATTAGAGCATTAAAAATATTGTTTTGTTGTTGTTACAATAGTGATCTAATTTTATTTTAATTTTGATGTAGGGCGAAGATTTCGATACTATGGAAGCACTTGAAGCCATAGATGATGACTTGGAATTGGAAAATCTGCGGTATGAGCTGAAAAAGACGAAACTGGGTAAATAATAAAATCTACTAAAGACATAGAAGAGGGGAAAAAAAGACTAGCATAAAGGGAACGTTTACACTGCTTGCAAAATATTCGCGGAATCGAAATCGGAGAGGCGAATGAAAACTTGATTACCCGCGATAAACTTACTAATCAGGTTCTCGCTCGCACCTTCTAATGCGATGTTTTTCTCATACAGTTAGAATGGGCTTTAAAACTCTTATGGTGTTTTCGAACTGGGAAAAGAGTTCTTAATCATATGAGGAATCAAAAATTATATTATCCGACATGCCCGTGGTATGTTAAAGCTCCAATCGAGTATGCATTTTTATACTTAAAGGACATTCACGCTAGATACGAAAAAAGTCGCATAAGCGAAGTCAGAGATTCGAATGACACCCTGATCGACGAGTTTTTCACGGTACAGGGTACTTTAAAATGAATACAGCGATTACAAACGGCTATAACTATTGAATAAAAAAGAATTTATCAATAAAATTTACACAAAATGTAGAAGGAACTTCAAAATTTTACCTACATACTTCACCAATTTTCTATGTGACTTCCCTTGGTCAAACGGACAACATCTAGGTGGTAGTCCATTTCTCGACAGACATTCTGAAACATTTGTGCAGTCACCGACGCAAGCGCAGTACAAATGCGTTCTGTGAACTCGCTTCTTCAAACATCCAATGACATCTGCGTATGTTGTTCCCATTTAGAGGTTCTTGATTATTACGCTGACGAAATTTTCTCTGCACTATGATAACAAAATGACAATTGTTAAATTCTAACAAGTAGAATGCATTCTGTACCGGACTCATCATTTTCGCAAATGAACTTTCGCATGTGCGAAATTCCGCTTCACTGCTCCTGCCCCTTACCTAAAGAAATTTTGAAGTTCCTTCTACATTCTAATGTTAATCTTAATGATAAATTGTTTTTTCACCAAAGAGTTATAGCAGTTTGTAATCGTTATATTCATTTCACCTGCATATCGCTATATTCATTTTACACGCTTCATCACTATACTCATTATTCCTGTATTTCACCTATAAGTTCTCGTTTGCATCTTCGAATTTTCGCATTCAGGGTGAATGGTCTCTTTACATGCCGGTAAAATATATGAATTTTAAATCATTTTACCACTAGTTATCGATTAAGCATTCCTCGAAATCTGAAGAAAATTGGATGGGGTGAATAAACATCATTGAAGGAGAGGAAAAAAATCAATCAATCATATTTGACGAGACCTAAATGTTGTTGAATTTTATTAGAGAAATAGACATTTAATAGAAATAATTCTTCATTATTATCCTTTTTTTAAACTTTTGGCATGGTTATGATTAGTAAAAGAAACGATGTTGACCATAATCGCTGTGCACTGGAAAATAATTGAAAATAAAACTTGTGATATTATTTTAAAGCGTAACCTGTGGAAGTGCATGCTCTTGCTGATAATACTTAACAACCAGATAATACTGCTTCTTTGTACAAAGTAATGCTCTTCATTATCGCATTCGTGCTTGATATTTTTTTTAAAAAATTAACATTTCCAATAGATTTATACCAGATAATCATATGTTGTTTTCATTATTATTAAATCAAAAATTTATACGGGAACTTATGGAATAAATATACACATTAGAGATCAGTTAACAATACTTATGTAAGAAAAATTCTGTCTCTGACCAATTACTATCGAGATCAGTAAGGACAAGCAAGGAATAAAATTTGTTTAAAACCAGCTTTTATTTCCTAACAACAGTGTTTCGGAGTCAGTTCTTTAAATTCCCTGATTTCGTTTTGAGTCACATGATAATCCAAACCACTTTAATCTAAGATAAGATTCGCTGTGGATGCTAGTATTATAATACCTGCCTTTTAACAAACTAGAACCACTAATTAAGGGACTATGCTCCCTGCCTGCGATGATTTCGCATGCGAACAAAAACCATCAGATTAATGAAAAAGATTCACCCACGAAAAACTCGCCAATCAGCTTCAAATTCGCATGCAATAAATAAATAAATAAAATTTTTAAAAAATAGTAATAAATCCTATGCAGTTAGAATGGATGTTTATTGGATAGTTAACCATACAAAGCTAAGAAGAGGTGGTGCTGGTGACAAAAAAAGGAAGCTTCTGGGCAGGCCCGTAGACAGGGGGTGGGGGCACCGTCGGGACAAATCCCCCCCCCGAAATTCTGGGATTCAAACTTTTTAGCCTTTCTTTGAGCCTCTCAGTAAAAAGAAAAACAAAAACTGTCGAATCAAACCTTTTATTAACTAACTTTATTAAGCATATTTCGGGATATTCTGGTTTGTCCTAAAAAGGTAATCGAAAAATTTTCTTTAAATCCCCGTCGCATGTCTTTGTAAACTTTGTTTACTAATTGATTATAATTATTGTGTAATATTAATTGAAAAATAAGTATTATGTAATATTTTTAAATTACTAGTTTAACTTTTGCAAGCAACAGAATAAACAATATTTGTTACAATGTTTTTCCCCTACTTTGCATGTCTGAAACTGTCCTTGCTTCTTACCATATCCCCCCCCCGGAAAAATATCCTGGCTACGGCCTTGCTTCTGGGTAATTATTTTGGATTAATTTACGCCCTCCTTACAATTTTTAAGAGTTGTAATTATCTAAAGCGTAGCTAACTGTTTTCACCTACTCAAAATATTTTACAGACCTTTTATTAACCTTTTTTCTTCTTCTCATTTTTAGAGTTGGATTGTTTACGTACATCATACTCCAAACTGCAGCAGCAAATAGAAGGAGAAGCATAAATACAGAAAGATTATCACAAAAAGTAGCGAATGTTGAATTTTCTTTAATTATAATCCATCATGTTAATACAACACTCAAAGAATCATCATTTCAAAATAGGAACATAATTAAGTGTGAAAGAATTTTTTCTTTCTTTCCCATCTTTGCTTTTATCATTGTGGTATGTGTCATGCATTTTTCTAACTTCATTGTAACATCTATAATAATAAAATGAAGAGTTTGTGTGTCTTCCTTCGTTTGCGTCTGTCTTATAATTCCAAAACTATCTGAGCTACGATCCTAAAACGTGGGCAACAAGTGAGGGGGGGGGGATATTTGTCCGCTAGGGATACACATTTGAAGAATAGGATTTCCTAATTGGCCATTTCATAAATTAAACTCTAGACGATTCTGTTTCTTTCCTCCAAATATTTAGAGATAATATAGTTATGTTTCCTGGCTTGAAGCTCTATTTAATAAAAAAGGAGTTTATTTCATGTTCTTAATATACAATTGTTATCTTATTATAATGTTGCAAGGTACTTTAAAATTTCGTTGGCTATTACTAAAACAAAAAGTGTACAATACCAGCGGTCATTTTTAACGGAAAAGATGGGAAGGAAAGTTAGCAAGTCGAGGAAGCGTGGCGTTAACGCGAGAAAAAGTTTTGGAACGATGCGAGATCAGGCACCTGCAGAAATAATTTGACAGGGTTGGAAGATGGCGAGTAACGAGATTAATAATTAGTCTTTTTTTTTTATTCTAATCAAAATGCTGGGTAAAGATCTTCATAATATCCAACATTTTTTTTTAAATGAAGTATTAAATTTACTTATTACATGAAGGAAATTATTTAAATGAAGTAAATAAATAATTTATGTTATAATGTTAATAAATAATTTATGTTATGAAGTAAATAAATAATTTATGTTATTTATGTATTGAAGTAAATAATTTATGTTATTTATTACATGAAGTAAATTATTTAAAAGTCAAGTTTTATACAATATAATTATATATAATTAATATAATTAGTTATTGATTTATCTGCTATTATGCTGACGATTTCCACCACCATTTATTAAAAAGTATTTTAAGATTGAATCGAGTTAACACATTTTATATACGAGTGAATTAAAATTGTACTATTGTAGTGGTAGTTACACTACATTACTGCCCCACCAGAATTTTATCTGAAATAGAATTCGATGAATGGTTATCACTAGTTGATTCATTGCTGTTTTGGGAAAAACCGGGAGTGATGTATTAAGTTCACCGGATTTTCATCGTTGGTGGTTAGAGCTGTATTATGTTCATCGGAGTTTGAGTGCTAGTGGTGAGAGCTGTATTAAGTTCATGGTTGTGCACGTGGTTGCTGCTGTGTTGCTATTAGCAAGCTCCAGTGGTGTGTGATCGAGCTTGAGTAGCAACAGAGCGAGGAAGACAATTTCTCAATCACAAATAGCAAGTCAACTATTCAATATGTACCATCTATCGAAGCAGGCATGTTCAAATCGACATACATACAAATAAAATACTTTTATATCTTAGAAATATATAAGATTAAACATTAGAATCTCTATTTTTTTATGCTTTAGCATTCGTAAACAATTTTTAGACTTTTCAAAACGAGTTGTTTTTGCAGTTTCACTTTTGATTTACATAATTGATTTCATATGCATTCATTCGTCATTTTGTTAACAGTTATTTTAAAAATGAAAAATTTTTATCATTGATTGCTGGAAAATAAATTATAGGTTTATAAATATTTTTATGCTCTTGTAAACTCATTGATTAATCCTACTACTTATTAAAATGTCCTTCAATGATTCGCAATTAATTTATTGCTGAATTGTATTAATTCTCCTATTAACTGATTTATTGATTGGTAACATTTCATTCCTCAGTCTAACTTTATTCCCTCGCTGTATCTAAAATTGTTCATGAGGACAGTTTTCATGATGAAACAACAGGCGCATTTGTAATAAATTGTTTATTAAATATGTCTCAAAAATAACCCTTAAAAATAAATCAGAAATGACCTGGTATAGAACACATTATTAAAAGAATGGACAGCTGCCATAGTAATATCAAAATATCAAATGATTATTCCTATCAAATAAATTTTGGGAAAGATTGGATATTCTCTACTCAGATTAATATTGGTATATAAAACTATGTATAAAAATAAATAAATAGAAACCTGTGTGCAACGCTAAATACTACAATAATAAACGCTTAGATAAATCAGATGAATAAAGAAGTTGTGAAGCCCGCTATTAGCAAATATTTTTAGACAAAAAAAAGTCTTACTTTAGTTTCCCAGTAAAATCTTTCAATAATTATTTTAAATATATATCAAAGAACAAAATACGTAACATATTGTAAAAGTGCACATATGTTTATAATTGTTAACTTAAAATTTACTAAGTTTTTGGTAATTATCTGATCATCTTGGAAATTAACCTTTTGGTTTGTTTCAAAACAGTCCCAATTTCTTCAATTCCTTCGGTCGAGATTTGGATAAAAAACTTAAATTTAATTACATTGTGAGATGAAATAGAAGTATTTTCTACACAAAATATCAATATTTGTATAAGCAAATTCACATTACATTAGGAGTACTTTTGACACACAGACTAAATTGACACAAAATTTGAGCTCATGGTCCTTTTCCTAAATCACTCCCTGCTCTTTTTCTCTTGTATTCCCCATTTGTGAATATTGTTGGAGGGTTTCCTCAATCAAAAATCTCTACAGAAAAGATTCTTCCTGGAAAATACGGAACTCATTCTTTTCAATGTCAAAGAAGTGATTTTTCTGCTGCGCTCTCTTCTTTCCATCTTTAAAGATTTTACTTAGAGAGCTTTAACCATAAAAAGTTAACTTAAGAATATTTAATTAATAAAAAAATAACCTATAAATATATTTTTAATATAATAACACAATTCCTTAAAAAGAAATAAAGAAGTTACAAAACATTAAATCTGGGTCTCGTTAGGCTCACCCTTTACCTGGTGATCCGGGTGATCGCACGCTTTGCCAACCCTTTAAGTCGGTCCTGCTTCCAAGATCATCTTATGTATGAGGCAAACATAAACAATCAAAGTGAAACAGCTGAAAAGCTCCGACACGCTCGCATTGTGTATTATGAACATAAATAAAGGTGCATACTTACAAGGGCGCCGGCAGAATAATATAAAAGGGGGTGCAACCCTCTAAATTAAAATATTCTGTTATTACATTTTGTTTTGTTATTACATATACTTTCATCTGTTAATTTTTTTCAAGATACATTTCTTCATTGTTAACTAGATATTTAAAAAAAAAAGTACGAATTTCTGGTACTTGCAAATTTTGCCTCGAGAAACTGTATATGGCATAGCTACTGACTTTGAAACACAAATAACTACTAACAGTAGTTTCGTATACTAACGTGTTTGTGCACGCTTAACATTGGTATTTATTGTGTTGATGAAGTTTTACAGTTGTGAGAAGTCAGTTTGTGTTATACACCTTTGTTAAACTAAATAACTAATAGAAAATATTATATATATTTTATTAAATGAAATTTAAAAATATAGCTCAGATATCTGCCAAGTTTGCGCATGCTCAGTGTGCATAAGAAAAGAATTAAATATGACTCAGAATTCACTGAAAAAGTTATTAACAGATTTGGGCAGCAAACAAGACGATAACAATTCTTGTTTGATTAAAGAATTTTTTAATTGAAATGTATCAATAATTACTTAATTTTTTGTTTTTGAATAAAAATATTTTTGATAAAAATTTTTTTATAACAAAATTGTTTTTCTGTATCTCTTTAATTGTTTAAAAAGAAAGCCAGGGGGGGTGCAAGTGCACCCTCTTGCATCCCGCTGCCGGCGCCCTTGCATACTTATTATTCCTTAGTTGAAAGGTGAACTAAATAGGGATGTTGAATGGTAAGTTATAAAATGTTAGGTTTATTTTTCGAAACTCTTAGGTTTTTTCCCCTCTCGTTTTTCAAAAACTATATCGCTTGAATACGTCATCTGGGGAGAAAACTGATTCCATGTCTTAACCTTTCCCTTTCCACTCGGGAATGTACCTCGATATCTTCCCTTCAAAAATACTTTTCGCATTTAATTGACGAAAATATTTCCTAGTTTTAAGTTCCATATAGTTTCCTAACTTAAAAAATTTAAATTTGTTTAAAATTCATGACAGAATAATGGTAAAAGTATGCAAAATGTTGCCATAGGTAAAGAGTTCTACTCTGTACTCTCTGCAGACCTTCCATTCACTAAACCTCTAATCTTATTTCGTTTTAAACTGTTAGCGCCATCTGTACATTGTTTGCATAAGGTTTATCACAGAATCAAATTGCATTTTGTACGTAAATTATTCGGGTAGAAATAAGCAGTTAAAACTGTACGAAATAAATAAGCTTGAGAGTTATGTGTTGACAAATTTTTTTTTATTTTTTTGTTTAATTCAGCAGAAATTTAAAAAAATTTCTTTAGACAAGGTTATTAGCGCATAATAATTATTAATTATGGATTCCAGTATGGCTCAGCGAACGTGGGAAATGGCCAATAATATTGAAAACATTCAAAGTATTGATGACATATATTGTTATGACAAAAAGACTCAACAAGATATTTTGACCGCCAAGCCATGGGATAGAGAGTTAGTAACTATTATTAATTTTTGATGAAATGCATAATAATTTGGCCATTTCTTAGATGTATTTATTAATGAGGATGTTTCCTCATCGTGATCTCTATGATCACAATTCTTTTATAATCTCTCTCTCTCTCACTCTCTTAGTAGTATAGTCTCTCTCTCTCTCTCTCTTAGTAGTCTCTAATTAGTAAATATTTAGAAAAAATCTAATTGGCGTATGAACTGAATTTAAAATATATGATGGTTCAGTTTTATAAAGTGTCTTTTCAGATGTGGAAAACAGATAATTCAATAATGCATACACCCATAATTGCATACTAGTTTTTATCAATTCTCAATCCTAATAATATGCTACTTCTCCTTAAAGTTAGTAACCTTTGTGTTTAATCATTGTGGCTGTGAAATATTCAAAATCTATAGATTATATTCAAAAGCAAAAGATTGTATGTAACATAACTTAAAATAATTTCTTTTAATGTATCCTACTTATTGTTTTTTCGTGTGTTTTGCAGTCCTCATTTCTTTAAAGACATCAAAATATCTGCCCTCGCTCTGCTGAAGATGGTTATGCATGCTCGCTCTGGTGGTACATTAGAAGTGATGGGCATGCTTATAGGAAAAGTCGATGTCACGACCATGATAGTGATGGACTCTTTCGCTCTACCTGTCGAGGGAACAGAGACGAGGGTGAATGCTCAAGCTCAGGCTTACGAGTACATGGCAGCCTATACCGAAAGTGCAAAACAAGTATTATTAACCTTCTTTCTTTCTGTCTCATTTACAAATGTGCATGTAAATTTATATGAAAAATTAGGGAATTATAATTAAATTGAAATAGATCAACATGGGACTTTATCAGGAGACACCCTGCATGCATTCATGCGGGAGCTTTCTGTGAATAATATACAGTCCCTGGTCAAATCATTAGACGCTCTATAAGATTCTAATATCAATAATGGTTTACTTGTTTTATACCATTTAAAATAAAAGTTAACATAATAATAAAAAAAAAAAATTCAAATTCATTTAATGTCAATCATGAATGGAAAATATTGCAGACCACTTATTAGATTATTAGTGTAATAAAGTTTTTGTATTTTGATGTCAGTAAAAATCCGCAAACTATGTGAAAAATATTTAAAATATTATGGAACAGTTATCATAAAATTTTTATTATTATATATTACTACTGGATTTTTTCCGATCATATTGTAGAGGTTTCCGTAAAATAATTGGTTTAAAATTTTTCTGGCTGATAGCATGTGTGAAGAAAGTAAAAAAAGCGAAACTATCATCTTTTTCCTGCTGCAACATTCAGAGAACCAGTTTGCTCAAAATTACAATTCTTGTTTTTAATTGCATTTGTAGACATTGGTCCTCTCCATAGGTTTTTTATTTAGAGGTAAGCACAGAGTGATGCAAAAGCATTGTTCTCAATCTAATAGAAGAGTTTTACAATCAATTTGGTTCCTTCTTGTTGATGATGTTCAAAATGCAGTAAAATCATTTAAAAAAGTACGCTTTTATAACGAAATTACTTGCATTACACATTTTTGCAAATGATTTTGGGGGGAGAGTAGAATTCACCATGGCAACTGTCTTCTATGAAAAGGTACCTCACCATAGTATTGAGTTAATATGTCTTATATACTAGTGAACTGGAATTATATTTTTGCTGTGGTAGATACACTACAGTACTCCCCTACCAGAATTATATCTGTGATAGAATTCGATGAACGGATGCCGCTATTTGATTCATTGCTGTTTTGTGTGAAGCCGTTAGAGCTGTATTAAGATCATCGTACTTTTTTAGTGCTGATCGTGATGGTTGTATTAAGTTCACGGTCGTGGTCGCTCCCGTGTTGCCTTTAGCAGTCATGTATATGTTGTACGTTATGAGTGATCGAGACTGAGAAGCAACAGCGTGAGGAGGATAATGTCACAAGTAGCAAGTCAACTGTTCAATGTGCACCATCCATCGAAGTTATCCTGACGAATTCCGCAACCAATTGATACCAAAGCAGGTCAGGTAAGGATTTGGTAATTTCCCATTAATACGTTGACAGTTTCTCGGAAGTGTCACAGTCACAAGTAGCAAGTCAACTGTTCAATGTGCGCCATCCATCGAAGTAGGCATGTTTGAATCATAGTGGGCGTTTCTGCCAAGGTAGGCTTGTTCACGTCCGAAGGTCTCTAATGTGGAGAAAGTAGTTATCAACAATGTCAACTTTCATCTATGTAAAGGTACCCCAACAAAGAATCAAGTTAATATATCTTATATACTAGTGAATTGGAATTGTATTTTTGTAGTGGTAGATACTCTTCAATTTTAGCAGTACAGTGCAATGTATTGAGAAAATTCAAAATATTTTTTTCGGCAGAAGCCTCAACCGCCTGATCTACCTAACATGTATAGTTTCATCTGTATACCTTCAATAGTACCTGAGCTACTTGTCTCTGAGTAATGTCAGTTTAACTTTAACCGCCCTGTACTTTTGGAGCAATGTTTTTATTTCTAGTTGCTTAAAGAGCCAGTAATTTAATTTTAAATTTTTTTGTTATTTAATATTAACTCTTTGATGTTAATTGTTTTAACTTTAGGTTGGAAGACTAGAGAATGTTATTGGCTGGTATCATAGTCACCCTGGTTATGGCTGCTGGCTGTCTGGTATTGATGTCAGTACTCAAATGTTGAATCAACAGTTCCAAGAGCCTTTTGTTGCTATTGTTGTAAGTAAGGTTTTTACTTTTTCAGCTTCAGTTCAACAGCTAGGTTTCAGTATGATCAATTCCTTTGTTTTAATTGATCAATTTTCTAACCTAACAATTAAAGTTTAAAATCATATTCGAAAAAAAAATGTAATCAATTACTTTTGAAGGAAGGAATTATTTAGAATGCGTTTGTAACTGTGGCTATCTTAAAATTTTAAAATATTCTTCTTATGTTCATGTTTGTTATTAAGCTAGAATAATAGAATATTTTGTATACTTTAGAAACTTATAAAATTGACTTGTTAAACTCTCATGTTAAACTTTTAAATGAAATTTTAATTCGTTTTATATTTGATTAATTTATAATGTTTGTGAAAAGTATAAACTGTTTGCCAAATTTTAATTATTTTTTTTTACTATCGTGTTAGTTATGTCTGTGATATTAATTGTTTTGAAATTTAATTTGTTTTATATTTGATTAATTTATAATGTTCAAAAAATTGTCTAATATTTACATTTGAAATTTATTTCAACAATTGGTAACCCAGGTTACCTATTCAATATGTAATGTTTCATTGATTTCTAAAAGATATTCTTGTTTTTTATTTGATTTTCTAAATTTTTACGATGAATTTACCATATTGTAAGATAATACTGAGCGTTTGATTATTGATTATTAAATGACTTAAAAATAGCTATTTGATATTAAGGTTGAAACTAAATACTTAAATATAAATAACAGAAGAGAAAATAATTTAGTTCCTATATAGTTATATAACAAAATGGATCTTAATTTGTGGATCAGTAAGCCTTAAGCATTCATTCTTAGTTACTTTTTTTTATTATCTATCTGTAATTTTCATATGGAGTAAAAATGTTAATGTTATTTTTATAACTATTGTACATATTTGAAGTCAATAAATAATATGGCATGTAAACTGCCACGGGACAGGGAATACCTGGAATTGTCAGGGAATTTTCTTTTGACTTTAAAAAGCAGGATATAGTCCAGGACATTTTTTTTTTTTTGGATCATTCAGTAACAGCAGGTAATAATTTATTGAGATTCGATTTAGATAATTCTAACTTCTATTACAATTATTTGTTGCAGAAATTCCACTTTTTAGTGATATTTTTATGTTTTCGTCCTCATTCAATTAAATTTTTTTCTCAGAAAATCTAATATTTGACATTTTAAATTAAAAAAATCAAAGTTTTCTGATAAAAAAAAATTGCATGGTATAGATAAAATGTGTTCTAGATTTACATTGAAATTTTCCTAATATAAATAAAAAAGTCAGGGATTTCTTTTTTCTTTCTGAAATTAAGTGGGTACCCTGAGACTGATAAAACTTTGAAGTTTGAGTGTGATTGTGAATCTTTCCTTGTTTAGTTTCATGTTATGCTTGTTTTTACATCCATTACATTAATATGTTTGTGTCCAAACGTTCATTATTATGGATAGTGAATGGGTGTAATGTAAGCTTTTATTTGTTGTTTATTTTTTGAATTAGTTAGATAAAATATTTTTTGCTAGTTCCAATTTTTATCAAGTATTGTGATGCAATTATTCAATTTTTTCTTTTCTTTTTTTAATTATGGAGAACAAGATGAAACTGGGTTTCCATAATTCCAACGGAAATGACTTACATTTCAAAGACTTACATCTTCGATAATTTTACTTATAGGCAAGACATTTTGGATCATTTTTAAATTAAATATGTAAAGAAAATAAATTACTAGAAATTTATTTTTCCATTGAATTATATTATGACAAAACAAGTTTTGTTATTCTGTGAAAAATTGAAATTCGCATACACAGTTTTAGGGATAAGTCAAAATACGCAAGAAATAAAAATTACATTTAGGAACTCATGTTGCTTTCTTAACAAAACAATTGGAACAATATTTTAAAGGTGTTTTTTTTTTAATTAAAAAGTGCTTAATTTTCTATCTTTTAAAAAGATATTTTTTCTTTGCTCTGTCGATTGTCATTCAAAATAACAAAAAATGCATGATTTTCACAATTTTTTCTGCAGTATTTATCTGAGACTAGTTATTTTATCTTGATTATGTAAAGTTTTTGAAAATGTTTTTGAATTTGATTAATTTTATGTTTATAAATTAAGAACTTTAAATAATAGAATAAAATAATTTTTACTATTGCACTGATCCTAATTATGCTTTTTGTTTGAATAGTGATTAAAAATATTTTTTGAGTGCTTAAAAAGTACTTAACAGGGGATTATTTTTTGTTGAAAAAATCTGGCTACGCACCCTGATTTATAAATTGATGCAAAACATGTAGTTTTTATGTGTAATAATTGTAATCCTTTTTTATGCATGTATTTTGTAATAAGATTATTTTGTTCAGTTTTTATTTTAAATACAAAAGAAAAATATTTTCATTAAAAAAATGACACAATCCTCTAATTTTAAAACAGAAAACATTGTGTAAACGGATCAACGCACCTTTGATGTAAGGTAGATTGATCCATTATTTTCAAAATATTTTCTTGATTAACATAAAAAGTTATTATAACTAACGTTGTTAAAAGATTCATGGCTTATCCAAAGCATGCAATTTGTCTTTTAAAAAGAAATCTAACTAAATTGCTATTTTTAAATGAGGTAAGAAAAAGGAAAACAAATTAATTTAGCTCATTCTACACATTATTACTTTGTTTTGATTTTAAAAACTACAAAGCTCTAAAGCTCTGCTACTAGAATAAATAATATTTAAGGCCTTCCGAAATTAATAAAGTGTCATTTGTAAACACTAAGTTTAATTTTTTTCTACCTAGATTGATCCTGTTAGAACTATATCAGCTGGAAAAGTCAATTTGGGTGCCTTTAGAACATATCCCAAGGTAAGTATTTTTAAGTAAATATTTTATTATTAAACACGAACTAAATTTAATTATATTTATCAAATTGTGTAGTTTTTTTTTAATAAAAAAACTACATCTTATTTCGAACTACTACAAAAAAGTCACAATTTCAGTATCTATCTATATATATGTCCGAAAAAGTATTACAATTTCAATCTTGATTTTTACGTCACACCCCTTTAAGAATCAAGCAAGAAACAAAAATTAATTTATTAGAGTTTTTTTTTTATTTTTCGTTTTACTCAAATGTACTGGACATATTGCATAGGATTGAACTGAGTTGATTTTCATCACTTTAATCATTTTTTTAATGATAATGGGGTTTTTGGTAGTTATAGCAACAGAGTTATACATAGATTTTAAAATCTTGATTTTATAATGCAATATTATAACAAACCACAATTGTGGAATCATGCATTTAATAACCATTTTTTGACCCACCCAGTGATGATTCCACCATAAATCATGGTTTTTCAATGCTTTTTTTCTAGTTATTGCTATAGATTCTCATACGATTTTTAAAATGGCTGAATTGAAATAAGAAAAAAGCACATTTTAGAGAGGAGAAGCTTGAAAAAATTTTCTTGTCGACCCCTGTTAACATTTGTCCTAAACACTTGCCCATTGCTGTCACATTTGCCCAAGTAGATAATAAAAATAATCATATTATTGTCTTCAGAAGCTTCAAAGCTAGAAATGTTTAAAGAATCTAATATGCAACATTTTTACAGCTTCATTTGAAACAACTAGAGTTTTTTATATTAATTATTAACTAATTATAGTCTACTTACTAATATTTAGCAATTGGACAATTTCTGATTTCAAAGGTTCATTAATAAAATACACAGACTTTTAAATTACAAATTTCTACTATGTTTCATTATAATGTACAATTGTGAAAGACCTAAAATAAAATATTTAATATAATAATAACTGTAAAAGAATATTCACAACATAAATTGTTATATGCTGAATCACCACCAACTGATTATTAGGCATTACCTAAGCTTCATTCCATTTCTAGTTGTTAGATGATGGGAGAATAAAATTGCAATTTATCAGTAGCAGAAACATGAAAAGCTACTTTTTTTTTTTTTAATAAATGTAAAACAAAGGACTGAAAAATATTTCATGGTTCTTATTCTTTTAAAGTCCTCAAAGATTTGTCTTCGTTATTAAATTCTTTAACAAACTCAACTGTTTTCTCTATGGTGGAGATTATATTTTAATTTAGAAATGTATATATTACTTTTCAATTAAAATACATAAATTTTTGTAATATTGTTATTTCATTTATAACAATTAACAAATATTATTTTTTTCCTGAAAACATGATATGATTTCACATAATACCTGAAAGCTTTTGTTCAATTTCTTTCAGTAATTCTCAAGATATAATTCCCTTAATAAATAAATTCAAAGCAATTAAATTGTTTATGACTAGATTTTTATGACTTAAAAAAATCCCTTAAAATGCTCTTAATAGCAAAATAAATAAATAAATTTTGCCCTGAATACCAAGGAAAAAAAAGGCCATGCAAAATGCAAATCTGGATTTGTAGGTTTTTAGGAAAATCATTTTTACTAAGGCATCATGAATTTAAACTTATGTGTGTGTTGATGATTTTAGGGTTATAAGCCACCTGATGAAGGACCCTCAGAATATCAGACCATTCCTCTCAACAAAATAGAAGATTTTGGTGTTCACTGCAAACAGTATTACTCACTAGACGTCTCTTATTTCAAATCAAAGCTTGACAGGCGTTTGTTGGATTCTCTTTGGAATAAATATTGGGTCAACACTCTAAGCTCTTCCAGTCTATTAACTGTAAGTTATACAATACTTTTTCTTTAAAAAATCATAATTTTTTTTGAAAAAAGCATAAATCTCAGCATTTTACAGCTATGAACTGGTATGGATATAAGCTTTCCTAGTTTTTCAATATTTGTATTTTAGTGTACTCAGGGATGAGATTTTTCCACTTATTTGCGGTTTTCGGCTTTGGGCCTCTTGAGTTTCAGCTTTTTTTTTTTTAAATCAAAATCTCCAATTCTCTAACAGTTAAGTTTTTTTTTAAAAAAAAATATCCTGTTTTTTAAAAAAATTCAGCCGCTGAAATAAAACAATTATACTTATTTCCGATTTTCAAAGATAAACAGAAAATTCAAACTATGTAGCTGCCAACCCTTGTGCGTTTTTAGTTATTTTCCCCTTATCTACTTATTTTTACTTATTTAGATCATATTTTGGTATTTTTGAAATCCAATATTGAGTTTCATATTCACATGATTTAAAAGTCACATACCAGGATTTATTTTCTCTCAATTTAAAATAAAATATTGCAGTACTTATTCACACAATTTTAGAATTCATGTGATTGATATTAATACAATTTTAAAATTAATCATCAGGATTTGTAAAGACATGGTTTTAAAATCACACTTTTTTTGTTAAATTTTTGGATATCATACCTTCTACATATTATATATATAAATATATTGTCTTGAATTTCCTATTTTTTGATTTTTGACTACTCTCATTCCTGTGTACAGTGCGTAAATTAAAAAAATGGAATAACTTCTGATGTAGTAATTGGATTTTCACATACCAAGACTCAATCTTAGTGGTTCAAAGGTTTGATCTCAAGTATGCAAATCAATTACAGGATGTTGATTCAATAAAAATTAAGTTTATTTAAAATTTTAAATTAGAGAAATTTGATATGAGAGACCATCCACTAATTGCAGAAAATATTTAAGGCTTCTTATCTATTTTACTAGCTTTGTAATTTTCCAAAATTTTAGCGCTAAGAAATTTAAATGAAAAAAATTCAATTTATCATGTCTTACAAGTTTAATAACATTCAAATTTAAGAGCCTTTCACTTATTTACTACTATTTTCATTAAACACAGTAACTAATCTTATCTGATTAAAATTGTCATTTCAAAAGAATTTAATCTCTTCATCGTTATATTTAAGAACAAAATATTATATTTTGTAAATTTTCTTTCGTATATATTTATTTTTGTATTACATTGTATTTTGTATCATTTTATTTTGTATTATATTATATTTTGTATATATTTATTCAAAACAAATCATTATGTTTAAAAACAATTGTGTATATGTAATATGCAATTAATATAGAATTCAATGAATGCAGAATTATCAAAATGGTGATTTGAGGGGAGGGAACGAAAACTAATTTCTGTGTGTGTGTTTTTTTTCTCCGAAAATTATTAAATAAAAGTTTTGTTACTCGTGTTTAAAAAAAATATTGAACCCAATTAATAATTTTAGTAAAATATCAAATTTTTTATTTGGACAATTCACTATTTTTTAATTTTTTTTTATGTACTTAATTAATTTTAACATTTTTAAGTCTATATGATGATTGCATTAAATTAGCACTTTAATAATTTACAAAAATTTAACAGGGGTCATTCACTAATTTACTTATGTAAAGTGTTTTTACATATGTTTTCCTTTTCTGCTTAATTCACGACATTTTTTAACAGAAGCAGTGTCAAAAACCCGAGATTTAATTTTAGAAATATAATTTTTTTTTGTTTAGACTTCTCAAAATCTAATGCTTAAAAAATAATCTTAATTGTTATCAATAATTTAGATCTATTATTATTTTTTTTTTCAGAAATTTAAATTATTTAAATTGTTAGATTTAAATAATTGTTAATTTTGCTTTCATTTAATAATTTTTTTATTTTATCATTCTTTAAAGTGATCCAAATTGCGTAATATTATAATCTTTTCTAATTATTTATTCTATTTATTAAATAATATACTTTTCATAAAAATTTTGATTTTTTTTCCGAACTTAATATATAATGTAAATTGATTTGGAAAACTTGAAAAATCAGAATTTTTTTTTTTTGACACCCTCAAAATATCAGGGGTAAGTAGATGTAATTCGAGAAATACAGTCCGAAGACATGTCAAAAGTTTGGACTCTTTATTGTTAATTTTACTTTTTGCATATTCTGTCATATCTCAAAAACTTTTTAAGTAAATCAAATATTTTTTGCATGCAATTATAAATTTTGTTTATTTAAAAATAATTCTATACCAAAAAAAAAAATATATATATATATTTTTTAAAATATGGTTGAAAATTTTTATTGACGAAAATTGTAAGGTACATAAATTTTTACTTCATTCTAAAGAAGTTCATTTTGTATGGCAAAATGCAAAATTTGGACAAAATCAGTTGAGTAGTTCTTGTGAAATCAAATTTTAAATATATAATTTTTTTAAAATTAGATAAGTCAGAAACAATCGAAATTTTTTTTGACAATTAAATAAAATAAGAAAAAATAATTATTTAAAATTATTTTTCTCCAGAATTATCTTTGAAAAAACAAATTTTATAATTGTGTGCAAAAAATGTTCAATTTCCCTAAAAACTCCAACATATGGGGAAATCTTTAAAGTAAAATATATATTAAAAGGTCCAAACTTCTGTTTGCTTTCTTGAACAAACTATTGGCACCATGCACCATAATTCCCATATTGCAGCTACTCCCATATTTTGAGGGTCAGTGGTCCAAATCCGTTGAAAAAAGGTATAGAGAAAGTGCCTTTCTGATTTTGTCACTAAAAATATTGTCTGCATTAATTAATTAGCCTATTTAAGGTTATGCCTTTGAACCATTAGGATTTCGTCTGAGTTGGGGAAAATCTGATCATTAGATCAAAAGTCATTTAGGGTATTTTTTTTTTTTTTGCACGTTGTAAATATCTTTGTTTTTAAAGCTAAAAGAAAGGTTTTTGCCACTTCTATCATTAAACAGTAATTTAAACGGATGTTTATAAGATCTATTAATTAGGCAGTGGTGCTTTTAAATGCTTGTGAAGTAATTAACATTTAGCATGCTAACTCTTTTTAATTTGAATATTATTTTACAACAATTTTTGAAAATCTTTCTGGTAGGTAGGGTATTATAGTTGTGTACTCATAACTATCAATTCTATTGGAAAATCCAATAGATCATGAATTTCCAAACCAGGATCCATTCAATCCTTACGGTACCTTTTTCTACATTTCTGGAGAAATAAAATTTTTCAGCGCATTACTAGGTCCTAATCAAAATAAAATGCCCTGTCTATTACTGAAACTAGTATTAACAAAACTTATTTAACTTATATAAATGAAGGAAACAAACTGAAAAGAAAATAGGACGTGACAAATATTGTCAGGATTTGTAATAATGATAACTTTTGCAAATGTAAATAAATTTTAAATTTACTGTTTATGAACATTAAAGTAAATTTACTTACTAAAATAATCAAAATTACAAATTTTGACACAAAATATATGATACCTGAACATATTTGGTTACTTGCATGTATTTGATATTTCCAATTGAAAATATTTTTTTTTTTTTTTTTTTTTTTTTTTTTTTTTNTTTTTTTTTTTTTTTTTTTTTTTTTTTTTTTTTTTTTTTTTTTTTTTTTTTTTTTTTTGCAACAGAGCTGATGACAATTATTAATTTATTTACTTTCATAAAGATTTCTTTTAAAAAAATGTAGTGTTGCTCTACATGTATGTAATATTTCTTCCATTTTTAACTGTTGAGATAAAATTTAAATAGTACTTGTCATTTGTAGATATAATTAGAAGTTTTAAAATATTTCACTAGTCTAACCTATTTTAAATATTCCATTCTATTTTAATTGATAAACACCATTTATATCTGTTTATTATACATTTCTATTATTTTATATTTAGATTGAAATAATTACTGAAATTTGAATAGCAGGCAATATTTCTTAGAAATATTGATTGATGATCACAATATATTACTATTTTAATTTGAGGGTAACCTTGTATTTTACATGCTTTGAAAGACTCTGCAAATAAGTTTAAATGCCTGTCATCTGTATTAATAGGAGTAGTAGATCTCCTCGAATAGTTGAATTTAAACCCAATTCACATGCTCAAACTTTTGATAGATTCTGCTGAGTTAAGCAGATGCCTGTCATCAGATTCATTCTGTACCCTGTGGCAGAATTTTTTCGAGTTATCTGCGACAAAACTCTCTAGGGCTAATATCTTTCTGCAAAGTACTTTTAATAATAACAAACATCTATGTTACTCATTTAAAATAACAAAAGCGCTGTGTTTACTAAAATAATGTATAATTGTTTGTAATTGAAGATTTAATAATTTTTTATTCTAATATTGTGGGTGATATTCTCGCATATTGCAAATGCACAAATTATTTCCTTCTTCGCATTTTGTAAATAATCACCGCAGTAAAAAATAATAAAAAAAACATGACATCCGTTGTAGTAATTGCCAAAAAAAGATCTACAATAAAATCACGTGAATCAGACTGCTCAAATGAGTGTTTCGTTTCGAGATTAGGTTGTTGTCATAGTATAAAAATATTGGATTTAAAATTTATGGAGAAATCAATTACAATAACTGCCAAAAATTCAATAGAACTACTGCCTTAAAAAGTATATTCTCAAATGCACAATTCATATTTTCTATATAGTTTGAAATATGTCATGATATTGAAAAACCATGTGAAAATCAATATCAATAACTGCAGAAAATACAATCAAAACATTATATCGATTTATGACGCTATCGGAGTAAATTGATCGCGTCAAAAAGTGCTTATCTAAATGCATGATTCAAATGTTACGTGTAAATTTCTGTTGAAAAGAAAGGTAAAATTTTTTACTTTTCAAAAGAAAATCTTTCTGCAAGAACTCTGTAACTTTGTGCCACAATGCTGCCGTGTTGCTGTGATTCTGCCACAGGGATTCTGAAAATTTAAAACGTTTTTTTACATTCCCTCCCTAATGACAGTTCTGACAGTAGAATTTGAGCCCTGATGTAGTAATTGCCAAAAGTTGCAAAAATTGCCTGAGACATTTTCATTCAGAAAATCTGTATTTTGAAACCAAGAAATTCTGTTTGGAGACGACCTTGTATTTTAAATGTTTTGATAGATTCTGCAGAGTCTGTCATCAGTTTTATTCTGAAAATTTGAAATGTTATTAATATTCCCCCTCCAATGAGAGTTGTAGATACCCTCAAATGGCAGGATTTGGTCCTGAATTATTTCAATACTAAATCCATAGTTTGAAGACTATACTGTGAATGACCGAAATTGGTGGTTGTTGACTTCTACTGGTGAATATTGACAATCACATAGTCACTTTGGTAAATATTCAAAATATATACTAGATCTAGTTAAGTGTCTTTGCCTGGTATACCCTACACTGATGTATTTTTAAGGTTCAGTGTGTCTGGTATGCCCTACAACAATGTTTTTTAAAGGTCAAGTGCCACTGCCCAGTATACATTTAATCAGTACTCCGAAGACTGATGTTTCTCCTAATCTATCCTCTGCAGATATTAAAATATCGAATAAATATAATAATATCAACCAATGAATTAGTATCTAATCAGATAAAACAAATATTTCGCACAGTCATCTAAACGACAATGTGATTGTTGACATTCAAAAGTGAAAGTCGACATTCTATTGATTTTGATCATTCATGGTAACAATCTATATATTTTGAAGCCAAGATATTGATTCAAATTTTTTATGAATTTTTAGAATGCAGATTATACTACTGGTCAAGTATTTGATCTCTCAGATAAACTGGAACAGTCTGAAACACAGCTTGGAAGGTGTGGTTTTGTGCTAGGTATGGACCCACATGAGAAAAAGACTGAAGACAAACTGGCCAAAGCTACAAAGGACAGTTGCAAAATAACAATTGAAGTAATACATGGACTGATGTCTCAGATAATCAAGGACAGGCTGTTCAATCAGGTAAATCGGAAATTCTGAGCTCTCGGACAGTCCTGGATCAAGCCGAAGTTTCGTTGTTTTGCTTACGATATGTAATTATCCGTTTGTGAAGTGTGATACTGTTTTTTATAATTTCCTTTATGTTAATCATAATAAAAATATGTTCTTTAAAAGTTATTCTTTTTATTTTTATTCGACATTTATTATTACAGAAAAACTTCAGACAAGCAGACATCCTTGGGACTGAAAAAACTGTCCGCTATCTAGAAAGAGATGTTAATTGCAAAATCTAATGTTGTAAACTGTTTTAACTATGCTAATGTGATGGTCAAATAATGACATAATAAGAAATAATATTAATATTTAAATTTTAAACTATGATTAAAATAAAACTGTATAAAAGTACAATATATGTGCTACTTACATACTTCAAGCACTATATTTACACTTTTAATTGTTCCATCGAGGAATTTTTCTAAATACAACAGATCTTCGTGATGCATTTTTTAGTACTCTTAATATTTCAATTTAGTTTCTCTATACAAAATTAAACATTATACACTGCTTTTAAATTAATCTCTGTTGCGTGTACAGCAAATAGGCCATAATTTTTTTACTGTTTAATTCTTTTAATTTTGGCATCAATACTGGAACTGGAAGGGGGAATATTGCGATCAATATAACCACAGGAGAAGATGTCCTCCGATAGATCCTAAATTTATTTAAGCATCCTATGTTTCTTAGAAATTTAAAACAGGGTGGTTCTATGATCATGGGACAAACATACAGGGGTGGTTGAGCGTACTAAAGCAGCATACTATATTTTTTGTCTACGAATGCAGTGTCTTAAGTGACTCGTTAAGGCATCAACGCACAGAAAAGTGTGTTTAGTTATATATTTGTTTTTTATAACCATCGTTGAACAACCGAAGATGCCTAGCTGCCAACTCTACTGGATTTTGCCAGTTTCTCCTAATCTACCAGTATAATAAAAATTTTCCTAGTTTTTGTTCATTTTAGAAAATTGCCTAAAATTGAGTAAGTTTCCTTAAAAAATCCCTATTGAAATAGAATTTTTGCACAGATTATTGCTTGTTTGAATATTTAAATAAGTGCTAGGAATACATAGTGAAGGGAGCCATTTATGAAAATCAGTTTAAAACTTTTTTGTTCTAAAATGTTGTTTATTTTTATTCAGAACTCCCTTTTTAAATTAATTTTTAAAAAAAATCTTAAATTTCTTTGATGAATAAAATGCCTATTGCTATTCAAAATTATGAGTACACATAATACATAACATTTAAAGTTCATTTAATGTTAATCATTACTGGAAAATACTGCAGTTTTTCTATTTTGATGACTATGAAAGTTCTTTAACTTCCCTATGTGTAAAAGATTTAGTATATTTCGCGACAATTATCATAAAACTGATTTTTCGTAAAATCTACTCGAGTTTTTCTTGCAGCTATGCAGATGAGTCATGTTACATGAAAGCCTAGGAAAATTTAATTACTTCATTATTATTCAAAGAAGAATAGAATCATAATATTGTTCAATAAATCATGCTCTTATAATCAATAAAGGAAATTATAAATAAAATTCTGTAAGATTTTGATATTTCATTTGTTGTGCTAAGTTGTTATTGTTTCGTTTTCCCACATTGTGTTTGTTTCTTGAATTTTTTATGATTTACTGTTATTTAATATGTTTATTAATGTTCATTTCATTTTTTGGTCCTTCGAGACACTGTAAACACTGAGCTATTGTTTATAATCGAGTTTTCGATTTTATTATTAATCGAGCTAGCAAAATTATTTAATATCTTTCTAGTTAATGTTGTCTTTGTTCTTTACTCTGTTCATCGATAGGTATTTAATCTTAAATTTTGTATACTGTAAATTATAATGGCAACTTTTAAGAAAAGATGTAGTATTTTCAATTATCCTATTGAATTGAACCCATATATTGACAATATTCTGAAACCAAAATTTGTTTCTGGGGAAGTTGAAAGAGCAAAATTAGATGTTTTTTTGGACCAAATGCATGGAATATGGGTGGACCTTAATGATATTCACATGGAAATTATAGTTGCTTGTAAGACTCTACAAAAGACTTTATAGATTATTTTGTAGAGAACTATCATCAGAACAAAAATTATTTACAAGTAAATTTATTATTATAAAAATCATAACACTTACCTATTTTATAAATCCAAAGAATTCCAAAATGAAATGTTCTTTGTTTGAAAATTTTATTCTCAAATAATATATACATAGATTATCTCTTCAATACTCTAAGATTGAATACCACTCAATAAAGATCTCGAGATGAACTTCAATAATTTAAAAGCAATAAGCTTATTTAACTTAAAAACAAAAAAGCTGAATTCTAGTTGAAACTAAGCATTGAAATGAAAAAATATTTACCAAAAAAACGATAAAAATGTATTAATAATCAACGCAAATGATACTATTTCAAGTAATTCCGATGATTCCTTATTGTTGTTTTCCGTATTACGTAGATACAGAAATATATACTATTCTATACAGAAGAAGAAGAATATTCTATGACTATTACAGTTCTAAACATTCTGAAATCACATTTATTCATTGAAATGAAGTAAGCAATATGGAATTAAATAACTTCCCTTTAATTTATAATGAATTAAAGACAAGACAAATGTATTTTACCCTAATACACACGTCTTTAACAGTATGTGATCCCGAAATCGGAAGTTGTCGGTTGCAAGTTTGTTGATAATGTAAAGGAAAAAATTATTGAGAAATTATTCTTCAAATATTGGGTGCTTTCTGTTTCCAAATGATTTACCTCTGTTCCGGGTCTTCTGCATTTTCTTTAGGGAAATTTTGCTTCTTATTTGCTGCTGAAAAAAAGAATGCCAATAATTCTGATAGAACTATATGAAAACTTAATAAATAAAAGCCTGAGAATATCCTCCCCGCCAGGGGTCGTAATCAAGCGTTGCGATCACGAATACTTCATAAGTGTTTACTGAAAATCTCATCAAAAAATGCTTATGAATCTTTTTGTGCATTATAAGTCAAAAAGATGAAATAATTTTACTTTTGTTCAAAAGATTTTTATATTATTGCTTAAAGAAGTACAAAGATAATTTTAACTAAGTCAATAGTTTTCCTGTCATAGCAAAGATTCATATAATTTAAATTTATTGATTTAAAAAATAAAAATATATTTTTATTCAATATTAAATAAAAGTTTCGATTTAAGTCTAATTAAATTAAGAAAATGAATGTTTTAAATATATATATATAAATTCTAAATACATGTATATTCTTAAAGGTTGTGTGTGTGTTCATTAGAGGAGATTTTTAAGTCTAATTAAATTAAGAAAATGAATGTTTTAAAACTAAATAAAAATTCGAAATACATGTACATTCTTAAAGGTTATGTGTGTGTTTATTAGAGGCGATTTTTAAGACTAATTAAATTAAGAAAACATATGTTTTAAATCTGTATAAAAATTCTAACTATCTTAATAATACTAAGCAAAAAACTGTTAAAATAAGTGATTGTCTTTTTAATGATTATCTAAATTTACTTTTTATTAGATTTTTGATACAGTGTTTATCTACCTTTACAATTCATGTGTATGTTGCGCTTGGACAAAATTTAAAAATGAAATCATTCTAGCTTAGTAAAATGATCTTGAATTATTTATTAATTATATCATTAGATGCAAAAAGCATTTTAGTTGTAATCTTGCTATTAAATAATACTAAGCATTAAATTAAGAAATATATATATTTATTTCAAATTAATGCATTTGAAATCAAAAACAAAATTATGCAGTTATAGAATTCTTTGTAAACTACAAAACATTTGGATCTTTGTTCCTTTGGATTAAGCTTAAAAATATTTTTTATGATGTATTTTTTTAAAAAGTTCAGGAAGTCTTACACTTTAAAACACTTATATTTGTTATCTTATAACTCAGTAGATGGCGACACTACAAATTTTAACAGTTCCTTAAAAAACCAAAAAACATAGTCATTCTAAATAAGTGTTAGAAATTTCTTAAAAAAATGTTAAAACTTCATGCTGATATCTGGTATAAGTTAAAAAATTTTCTTATGAATTAATTTTTTTATACTTTTATTTTTCTTTAATTTTGTTTAAAAAGAAAACTGAAATATCAGCTAACATCGCTTTTAGCACAAGCTTTTTATATTATATAGATGACTAAGCAATGTCGGCAAAAATTAATTATGACTATTTTGTTTAAGCGAGCTGATTTTATCGAGAAAAGAAGGTAGTTAATTGTGTTGAAGTAATTTGGAAGTGTTTAATTAAGTTTTTTTTTAATTTATAAATTTTCTTCTATTTTCTACTAATAAAAAAAAGAATAAAAAAGTAAGAAATATTGGTATTTTAAGGTCGCTTTACGCTAGAAATGCAGAATGGTCCATTGGTGATGGTCCAGAGGAAGAATCCAGTACAAATTTGTTTCTCTACAGAGGGGATACGGCTCCACCGCTTTTGATAGCTCGACGACCAGCGTGAGAATTGAGCTCTTTTAACAAGTACCGATACCACGCAATCTTGGTTCCTTCGCAGGCTTCTTGGCCACCCATCCACTCACTGACCGCTATCAGTGATACTTGACTTCGGTGATCTACTGGGAATCGTCTGTTACGATCTGCCACAGTAAAACAAAAATTTTTTTTTATTTTTTTTATTGCATTATTGCATCCGATTACCCTAAACTTGCGTGAATCGCATGTAAGGAGAATGCTCCCTAAGTTCTGCTTGTATCTATGGGAAAAATAAATACTAATACATTAAGTTTCGTTCTAATATTCGAAATTTCATCTGCAAAGTTACAATAAAGAAGTATGCTTAAATAAATTATATATATAAAAATAAATAAGTAACAATAGTTATAAAAACTTTTTCCCTTTTTACAGATTTCTTTTTAAGTGTCTTATTTTTTTTAATATATGGATGGTGTTTTCAATATGAATGTAAACAACAACAATCTCGAGCTCTTGATCTGCTTTACTTCCGGTTAGAAAGTATACAGCTGCTTACTACAGCTTATTCTGTGAGGCCATATTTTGAAGCAGATAATTTTGTCTTTAATAAAAGAAATAAAGTATCTAATTTTTGAGCTCAAATCTGCTGTATTTTATAAGATA